CGGGGAGTGACCTGCGATGGACTGTCTAGCATCCCGTCCAGGGGGAGTGGAAATACTCTAAGCCGCTTCATGCTACAGAAACCGGGATAAGATCCGGCAGCTATGAGCCAGGCTTCACTACACTTTAGAACTCTGAGATGTCATAATAATGAGATTTATGGGCATAAACCACTAATCTCTTCCCTCGTGTTCAATCTTAATTCTCAGCGTGCCATGAAAGTAATACGACCAACCACCACTCGAGACTGTTTTGGCCGCGCAAGATGACGGCCGAATTTTGGCTCAAAACGTGACTTCGAACAGTTAAAAAGGAGTTTTTCGCATACCTTTCGCGAACAAAAGTGAACACCATTTGAAAGCAAGGTTAAAACTTCATTATCAAGCGAAAAATTTCAGATACGAAAATTTCGTTTCAGTGGCACTTTTATTCACTCGTAATTCGTGACATACATAGTTGCATGTGTCTGACATCGCGGTGGCATTCCCTTTCGCAATTTGGACTCAAGACAGCTTGGAGTGAAGTTGGAACCCATTTTTAGGGTGATTTAGTGCATGTTATAGTCATAGCTTTCTGTTACAAGACGAAAAATATTGAGGCTAGCAGTGGAACATTTGTCAGCAATCCAGCAAAACTTTGAAATCCTTAGCAGAAGGATTTGAGTATATTATGATGGAGACAGTAGGTTTCCTTTGCTGATTTTGTTACCAAGTATTTTTCTATTACTTGTTTAGATAATTTTTTTATATATAGATGCCGCATTGCAGGCTTTTTATAGTAAGTAATCAATTTTAAACAAATAAAAAGTGTGTATTTACCCAGAAAACTGATTCCTGGTTAATACGGTAACCAACGAGCCGTGAAGAAGTTGGCCGTATTTATAACGAGGAGGCTGTATTACCGGGGTAGGGGAACTGGTGCGCAGAACAAAATTTAGTGGTGAACAATAAAGACAACAGAGTGTCTATGTCTCAGAACTATCGTCTGAAATAGTCGATAGTAAATGAACTACTGCCCATAGTGCCCATCCGAGGAAATACCCGGATGGATAGTTCTCGTCCGTGAAAAGTTTTTTGCAGACGAGCAGGCTTATAGAAAAAAAAATTGAAAGATTGCCCGCTTTCCTTTTCAAATTTTACATTTGCTGTTACAAATAGGTTTTACTTAATTACGTTGCCTTAACATATAGAGCGAAGGTTTTTTCGTCGGCGAGTTTTTACAAAAATCCCAGGAGTTGATTTCCATGTGAAAAAGTAAGGATGCTCTTCGGAATATTTGTATTAAACCACGAGACCAATCTGGGCGTAGCTAGAGCGTTATTTGACCCCTAAAAATAACAGCAGCAGCGATACACAGCGTCTATTAAAGGATTTCTTCAAGTGCAAACAAAAAGTTACCTTGACGGCTAAAAATAGCGCTGATTCGTCCTGATTTCTCCAAGCGAAACCCAGCTCCGTGATTTACGTACGCCACTAAGCGAGACTAAGAGCATCACTGCCGGATCTTTTCATATGGGAGTTCACCCCTGGGACTTCTGTTTACCTGAAGACCACCTTGTCACATAATGTGCAGTTCCAAAAAATATCCATACTCCCCCCNCGCTCCTCCCTCCCCCTCTCCCAGACAGATCATTGACGCTTACCGAACTCTGGAATTTCTGCAACTTCCAAAAACACCTGCGAGTTAATCCATTCTTTTTTTTTTTTTACTCTGCCTCATGCGAATACCCTTACTAATTATTCTGTTACACTTTCCCGTGCTGAGCAACTGAATGTGCGTCAAACTTTGTCAGTGCTTTAGTGATTTATTTCAATCATCGTTTTAACTGCTGACATGCCTCTTAGACTTACAGCCGTTCATTTCTTTCGCCTCACAAAGGTTTTTAAAGGCACATGATTATCAAGTCCTACAGATCAATTTACATTAATGTCTTGGCAAATGGTTTATTTATGTGCTATCTCGTATTTTTATTATTTATAGCCAGGAGCCAGCCTGACGGTATATAAATACCTTTGCTAACCGTAACAATTCGCGTACGCGCTTTCATCTTCATTCGCAAACGGATTAAGTCAAGAGGCTTTACAGAATAATGGTTTCACTATTATCATTAATCAGTTCCCACAGATCATCGCCCCGTCTTCAGTGCTTAATTGGCGTTGATTTTGCTTTTGATCCATTTCAAGAGAAACGCAACCCGGGCATAGACACCAGGCTGGTTGGGTGCAGCACAGCCGTAGCCCCAGCTGGTGATACCATGAACGCTGTAACGACCATCGCTGCCTTTACACACCATAGGCCCACCACTGTCACCCTGGCACGAATCCTTACCTCCTTCCGGATAACCTGCACACACCATGGACTCATGGATTTGATTTTTGTATTTTTTCTTGCAGTCATCTTGTTTAATTATTGGCACGTGAGCCACTTGTAGCTTGTCTGGTTGTCCTCCACCCGACTTCAGGGTACCCCAGCCTGTGATAGCGCATGATTCCCCAGGGATTGGATCCGAAGTAGGAAAGCATGCGAGGCCAACGTAGCTTGAAAACGAAACAAAAACAGGAATAGCATTTCAGATAATAGGATTATTGATGATAACGAATACAAATACAACACTACTGTTGCTTGAAGTGATGGCCAGTGAGCAATACACTGCGACTATATGAAGCCATGATTGATCATCGCAGTTATATATGCAGCTCAGTTGGCAGAGCACTGCACCGGTATCGCAGAGGTCATGGGTTCGGATCCCGTTCAAACCTCAATTTTTTTCTTCTTTTTTTTTTCCAGGCCTTCTTTCACAGCTGCTTAAGCTGCGTATATAACTACGACGATCAACCCACGGCATGTCTTCGTATCTTTCACTGCAGTTCAAATGTATGATATTTTATATATTTACTTATACGCTGCAAATTGCTTAGTAAAACATTCTAAAACTAAAAAATATCTCTTAGTCGGCGTGTTGGACTATGTATTAAATGGGTTTTAATTCATGCACGCCTTGCGTGCCTATGTTTTAGAAAGTGCACGTGACTGTTAGCGACAAACCGTTGGTGACAGATCTATTGTAGACCAACTTACTCTTCCTTACCGGTCCAGATGGGCAGGCCTGTCAAGTTTTAAAACTGCAACGTCATTATGCATCGTGTTTGAGTCGTAGTTCCCGTGCATGATGATTTGTAAAACTTTAAACTTCTGTTCGTTCGAAGATGTTGCGCCAGCGTCACTTTCCTCACGATAATGTGCACCCATTCTAAATAAAGGCATGAAAAAGATCAGTCTAACCGAAATACTCTTTAAGGTTAGTGTGGATTCTAATTGAAAAACTGCATCGAACGAATTGATCAGCAGATCTAATCGGTAAAAAATAAAAAAAATTACAATACATGGGCCGGCAATCAACCTCTTTTGTTGCAAAACGCAAGGAATTGTGGTCGGTGGTGAAATCAAAGGCGCAATGAACTGTCGTTATGCGCGAATGGAAGAATTAAGATGCGCTGTTTTCCATGTGCTCTCTTCGATCGATGAAAGCAGGGATGAAAGCTATCGGGAACAACAGGAGCACAACTTATCAGTCCATAATATCCAACCAAAACGCTATTGTGAAGGTAGTGAGTCAAAGGCACTCGGCCGCCGTGCTAGAGAATCGAGTCAATGTTCAAAATTTTATCGTTTGATTCTATTAAAGCTCTTAAAACCGGATGAGTAGAAGTAAAGCAGTTGCAATAACTCAGGTGAAAAAGGTTCAACGTTGTATTTTGCTACTGATGATGCCTTTCTGTGTAAAATGCCACAACAGCAAGCCAAATCCAGGTGGAAGCGTGAGTTTCGTCCGTAAGAGAGCTCTGAAAATGTAATGAAGCTTAATGCTGCTGATTGCTGAAATCCGAGAAGTTAAATAAACCGCGCAGTTTGCATGTGTTACTGTTACCGACGATCTGAGTTCTGTGTGGGGACAACCCTGCTCTGCATTGACACTTTTTATATTCTCCTTCCCTTCGGCAGCATTTTGTACCATTTAGATAAAC